GTAAAAGGGTATAATTTACAACAAAATGACTATTTTGAAACGTTAAATTACAAAAGATAATATTTTTCCTTTTTTTTTTTACTTCTTAAAAATTACTTCCTTAATTTAATTTCAATCAGAGATGTTTATTCATAGCTAATTCTGCTATAAATGAAAAATTGCAACAAATATTTCGTACTTATTGATGAAATTTAACATTTCCTTTCATTCATATATAGCCAATACATTTATCCAACTTTATCATATCATTATCATCATATCAACCATTTCTCTAATTTCATTTGTAATAATCATTCTAAGCATCAATATCTTGTAATATTATTACTTTTTGAGTAAACTTTTATTTAAGTGTGATAAAACTACATGTCCATAAATTGAGTAAAATGATTTTCACTTAAGGATGATGAAAGTACTCATCCATAGGCTCGAAACATGAATTCCTTACACAGTTGATTAGTATTAAAACAGTCTTTTTTTTTTTTGTTAATTCTCAATAATCCTCTTTTTTTTCTTCCATTCATATTAGTTATTAATTTATTAATAAATGGTTAATGAGTATTACAGAAGTATTCGTCAACAAAAATCAATTTGTAAATATTTGATATAAAAAAATGATGTTTAGAAATGATTTTTTTTAAACGATTCGTGTATCTTTCCGATAAATATGAGCGCTTCCTTTCTGATCTCAAATATAACCATGCGGTTGTATTAGAAATTATCATATTTCTATTTGAAATGTATATATTGCAATTATATTACTCGTTTATATTATTTGTCTTATATTACTCGTTATTTCAATATAGTATTATTCTGTTATTAGTACCAATTCATTATACATTACTCTTTCCTTCTTTTTCTTTTTTCTTATGATAATAGTAAAGTTTGGATAGCTTTAGTGAGCTATCCAACTATTCATTAATAGCACTCATCAATATAGGCATTAATCTTGCAATGGAGAAAAATCGCTTCCATGCTCATTGAATTGTCTTTTAAGCTGCACTTTTTCATCATTTCAAAAATCATTTAATAACGAGCAAATTAATTATTTAACACAATTTACCATTCGTGGAATTCTCTTCCGTCATTAGAAATCTCATTTAGTTTTTCCAGTTCCATCTGAAATCGCGGCAAAACTATGTAACGAAAATTTTGACAAGTTTGTTACATATATAAAAACATCAAGTATTGGATCGAAATGGATAAAAACGACAGCAAAACAGCGCAACTCCTCACCAGACTTCCAGGACTGCATTTTCTGGTTTTTTCAAGGCTCACATTTATTGCAGTGAATGCATGGAACAGAAATCAACTGTTATTAATACATATGAAAAACTAATAAATGCATAAAAACATCTAAAACCGAAATATTGAACTTTAATATAATACAATTCGTTCTTAAAAGATCTAGCAAAACTGAGAATTCACAGTAAATGCGGTTCAAAAAAAAAAAAGAAAGGGAGAAAATCTTGAACTATACATTCTTACTGAATCACTATTAAACTCTTTCATGTTTAACCACAAAAGTATTCTTCATATTACGAACATTATCCGCTAACTGATTAGTGGCATAATCATTCGTATCACATTATTTCACATTTGACTACTTCTTATTCGATCAGGATAGCATCTTCTACTTATAGAACACAATTCTTGATCACCAAACCATTTACAACTAGGAGGAAAAAAATCATCGCTTTCTAACTCTAAAACTTCTTGAAGCAACGATCTAAGTTCAAAAACAAAAAAAAAGTCAAATAACCTGGAAAAAAAGCAGAAAAAAACAGAAATAATGGACAACAACATACAGACAATGTTACAAGCTTTGGATTGCCTAACTGGAAAAAAGAACTTTGAACAAGTATTGAAAAAGAGGTGCTTTCATACCAATAACTTTTTCTATCAGTAACTTTCCATATCAATAACTAATAACAATAAGCATATCTTACCAATGTTTTCTTTGTAAATTTCTTAACCTAAAAAACAATTTAAAACTTTCTAAAAGAAAAAAAAATGGCACACGACATATTGTTTACAGGTAAAGAACAGATATTTAATTAATATACTTTAAAATTCAGTTTTGAAACATATACGCCGGAAGTTGAAAGAGAGCAGTAACACTGACACAACAAAATTAATTGGTGCAAAGTATTAAAAGAAACAGTTTTACAACTTACATCAACCTCTTGTCCACAATCTGTTTAGCATGACATTGTATTACCTGTATTAGACATGCTACAATGAATGAACTGACAGTAATGGGCAAAGCATTCTGTTCATTTAATAATAATGGACTAGATATGATACAAATTGAACAACTCAAACATATAATCAAACGTACCCAACTAGACATCGTTAATCGTGCAAAGCGGCCAAAATCTTTTCTAACCATAAATCGGCGTCAACTTTCGTATCAGCAAGTAGTGAATATGCACGTCTAGAGGTACGCACCTGAATAATACAGAAGTTTTACGAACTGCAAATAAAGCATTAGTAGAAAGGCTCTTTAGACTGTTACAAAACATTGTTGGAATTGAAGACAGTTAATTGCTAAAATTAACTTATTAGAGATTACAAGCCGAACTGGAATTCCAAAATTTTCAGGAATCCAATGAAATCATTTATGAATAAATTCAAGATCCATACCTCTAGAAGCGGCTTCCTTAAAGCATGACTAATTGCTATTTCGACAGATTTGACGTCTGCCAAATCAATGACACCGCGACAGTTTATGTCCGTTTCATTCTCATAATACCTCAACTGAAAACTTACATAATGAATAGGAAAAAAATTCAAGTAAACAGCTAAAGAAGTTAAAAAATCTATAGACTCAAAAAGATAATACCTGATGTCTATTTGAGTCTAGAACGAACCAACGAGGTTTCCACATTTTGAACTTGGCACCTTTCTTCATTAAAAATCCGCTATACGTGGCACCTGCATGAGGATAACGTGCACTCAAAGTTAGCGTTTTTGTATCCGCTGCAATTGAAACTTTTAAAGTTATCTAAAGAGTAAAAAAATATGTTGCAGTACGTTTTGTTCACACCCGATATCAATTCTTATAGAATCATTTCTTGAAAGAATACTGAAATTAGCTTACCTTTCATCACAGCAATAAATCAACTAATCGAATGCATTTTATGGAGGCAAGTATGATTACTGCAAAAAAGTATACCATGGATTAAATCTGGATAATGTTAACAGAAAAATCCACCTGTATAAGTTGCAGATCGTTTTGACACTGATGGGAGATCACATTTCGCCGCTACCACTAATCGCTTTTCCTCCATATTTGGACAAGTAGAAGATACTAGAACAGAACATTTTTCATGACAAACCATACCGCATCCCAGACATCGATGAACTGAAAAAAAGAAACAGTTTTTTTTTCCTGTAAATTTTTTACAATTTTGCAAAGAATGTTAGACTTTAAGCGTTACAAGTTTTCAGTGGACAAACGACCACTATAGCTGATAGGAAAAATGCAAAGGGAAAAGTACAAAATCGAACCTGTACGTACTACAACACCTGGGACATTCTGATGGCATACTGCACATGCATCTCCAGGAGTGACCTGCTGTGTAATGAAATGATGACCCGAATTTCTGGAAATTTTCTTGTGCCATTTTAAATCAATGTTTAAGATGATGAATTTAATTATCTCGAAAAAAAACTCCCGTAATTACTACATATCAGCAAATATTTAAATCATATTTTGAGGAACAATCTAGTTGAAGCTATAATTCGTCTCAGATTTCATTAGTATCGTTGCGCATGATTCAAAGCACTTCATTACTTCATTCAAAATACAATAATATTTTTCTTTTCTTTTTTATGTATAACAACAGATTTTTGAATACTGCAATGGAAATTTTTGAATACTAACGAGAATTAATAACATATTGTTCTCTACTACCTATAGCAATCAAAATTAGTAATATCTGCTCACTGCTACTTTCTGATAAAAAAATGAGCAAAAGAAAATTAGCAATAACTTACGTGCTTGCTGTACTATCCCTTAACCGTGATGAGCTTTGCTGTCGAGATATACCATGAAGCAAAAGCTTAACAGTTTCCTTCTTTTGAACAGCTCTTTGCACATAACGATGCCAAATACTTACAGCATTTGCATCTTCATCATTCTACAACACTCGTTAAGGTAAGCCAAAATGGAATCTACCATGTTTCCCAAATCAGCGAAGCAAACAGTAGGAAAAAACTTGCACAAATTATAGCTCCAAGTCAAAATTCCCTCAAATTCTTTCTTCACTAGACAGTGCTGACTACGCTTCATAATACATGATTACAAAAAAAAGAAAGGTAAGTGGATGAAGGGAAGCATATTACCAATTTGATCACAGTCTACTGCTTAGAAAAATCAACCTGAAAGTGTGAAATTTGTGTTGCACGATCATTCGCTGCTGCAATCAATCCATGCCATGAATCAACGGTTTTATCATCTTCACTAGTGAGAAGTGGACGTAATCGAGTAAATCTCTGCAAAAAATGTCAATGATTTCTTATCTTTTTATTATCCTGGAAATATATTCTAATCGTTCAAGTATTTTTCGTTGTTGACAATCCAATATAATGAAATTTTCAACCATACCTCAACTAAAGACGAAAATGAATCGAGAAGAAGAAAATGTGTACAACGGTAGTTTGCATCCAATAATCTTCTTGGCATGGAAACCGAAGTCCCAACATCAACCAACGATTCCTGATGCTCATCCTCACGTTGCTGCTGCTCCATCTCAGCTATTTCTGCAAGAATAATTGTTCCTTCTTTTTCTTTTCCAAAAATGAACATTTTAGCTTGCAAAAATGCAAAAATGAACACTTGAAGCGGTTGAGGAAATCCGAATAGCCAACATTAACTAGGAGTAAAGAATTTTTAAAACCTTGATCTCGAAAATACTCATACAGAAAATCAGAAAATTACGAAATAATTGTGAATTTACCGATATCGTAAGGAGATCCATGCGCCAAGTGGTCTTCGCAATAAAAAGGCCACAATGTTATGCTGGCTACACTAGACTGTGGTCGTAAAACAGTGTGCATTTCAGCAATATACATAAAATTATCGAAAAGAGATGATCTGAAACCGTATCCGGAAAATAGCAGGAACCACATTTGTAGTTAGCACTATGCCTGAATTATTTAAAGCATACTTACCCAAGACGTTTTTCATCAATGTATGTCCACAGTGATGCATTGCGCGGTTCTCCTGCTGATAAGGTGAGTGAATCAAACTTGATTCGTTCTGCTTCCGAATCATGCAAAAATGTACGAAAACAGGCAGAAGTAGAATGATAAGCAAGAAAACGAAGGTAAAAATCATTGAATTCGAATGCTGATGGATACTGTTCCCATGTCTAAAAACTGCATTTTTGTTTTGCTGAATATTTTCATTTTGTGTCAATATCAATTGTTTTCATAATAACAGTGTATGTCCTTTGGACTTAGCAAAACTATTATTAGTACAATGGCATACCTGATGTACAGCATCTAAGAATAATAAAAACATTGGTGCAATGCCACTGCTCTGCGATGCAGCTGAATGATTGTGACGATGAGAGAAACGATGTCCAAATGCAAGCCATTCTTTTTCCACCAGAACTCGAAATCCTCCAAATGTCCTACAGTACTTTTTTACTATTTATTTGTTGCTTTCAAATTAGAAACAAATTAGAAACAAGATTGAAATTTAAGAAATCTCACCGTAAAAAAGAGATCCATGTAAATAGCTAATGCATACCTGTAGTAAGGATCAAGAAGAAGCTCTGAAAGTGCTGTAAGTTGACAAGTAGCATCCCATCCGTCTTCGATACATATAACTACAGTTGAAAGTTGTACATCAATAAGATCCACTATTGCACAAGCTAAATGCAACAACGAAGATACCTGAAATTGTTATGAAAAGTATCAAACAGCTATGAATTTCTGACTTGCAATTTTTTAATCTTAAGATGCTTTGCGTACCATATGTAGCCACAAAGAATCGTCGACTTGTTTCAAGAATGTAAGAGATGGATCGTCATGTAACGGCCAGCTTGGGCATACTGCACGCAAAAATTTTTTGAAGGCTATCTTCACATTATGCGCAGATGGATAATTTACAGGGATGAATTCACATCTTTTGTCCAACTTTAGCATCTGAAAGTCGGTCAAATACGTACCACAGAATTTAATTTTAAGATGAATAGAAGTCAATCCTAATCAATACTTGAATAAACTTCAATTCTAGTTGAAAATATACAGATAGCAACCTTAGCTTGGCTTCTATCGCCTAAAACATATAATGCCTTCCTTGTGAGACTGATCAACGGTTTCACTGCCTGTCCTCGTCCCAAATTTGCATTTCGTGGCTGGACATTGCTACCGTAGTCCACATAACCAACAAACCGATCACCATTTGTGGCTGAAATTCCTGTTAAATTATGCGACCTACAAGAATAGATTTACGAAGGGAAGCAAATTTTGTCCGAAGAAAAACAAAGATAACTGTAAAAATAAATCTCACATTTTATTCCAGATCTTCCTCCACTATTACGGACGAAATTTGCTGCGTGTCGAGCAATGTCTGTTTGTGATTTACGATATAAATCAGGCGTACCAGAATTTAGTGACAAACCATCAGCCGTAATCATCGAATATAGTGACAACAATGATTCCACTGATTCAGACATCAACGAATGACCATCTCCACTTGTCATCCTCGGTGAAAGTGCAGCAAACATAGAAACGTACCTTTCCTAACAGATTAACTTGGTAGAAATAAAGTATAGTTGAAGTTAGAAGTAAAGTACAGTTGAACTTGTCTTTTAAAATTATAATGAGCTAATGGCATTTCTAAAATTGACTATCTCAGGAAGAGAAATTTTTAAATAATTGAATCTTTACCGATAAAAAAGTAATCCGTCAACGTACCTGTAATTCAACGCTGTTTGGAAGAGCTACATCACGTGAATTAAGGGACATGTAAGAACCGCTATAACCCATATTTTGGTTATCACTACTGCCGAGAAAATTTGCTTGTTTCTTTAACCGACTGACCACTGTTTGTGCAGTAAAGCCTGCACCACGTACAAGTAACGCACCATTGTCACTTTTCCATGTAATTACTGGAAAACGACCATGTCGGAATCCTTTCCCGATTTTCGTAAAATTATCATCAGGTGTATTTGCAGGTACGACTACAATATTCGGATAACTGAAAGTAGAAGAACAGGAAATACTGCTTTTAGGAATTATTAATAGATCTGGGAATGATTACTGAAAAGAAAATCTGGAAGAGTCCTTCTGGATTTTGTATTCTAACCATTATTTACTCTTGAACGTTTCATGCACGCAAGTTAGATGTTTTACAACAGCATCATGAACTTATTTCCGGATACATCAATACGCCTGACGCATGATCATCTTACGTCCCATAAGACATTCTGACTGCCCGAACGTTCACATAATCAGGAAAAGTTGTAAAACCTTTTTGTCAGCTCATAACGACGATTTGCATTCGTTAATCGAAAGGAGCCATGATTCAAGCCCAATCGATCGTAATCGACCAAATAATGACGATGCAACCCACTTGTTGTTGTATCTATCATCTCTCCTAACCATTATTCGAAATGAATAGAAATGTTTAAAAAAAAAAACCTCAAAGTAAATTTAAATCTTAAACCAAAGTTCGAAAAAACAGAGAAATCTCCATAAACCAAACTTACCAGAGAGGTCCAAATAATCATTTTTCGACGAACGAGGTGATGCACCGGGTGATAAGACATTTAGTGTGGTCGTTTCACCATTTTTTTGGAATTGGTGGTAATGCTTTAGGTGGCGCTCGAAATCGTTTTCTTTCTTTCAATGGATTTCGCATTAACGCTTTCTTTAATTCTCTGTAATTGTATGGAGAGTAAAATTTGCTGTGCTACCCAAAGTAGATGAAAAGAAGAAAAATTTAGATAAAATAATAAAAGCATAACCTTTATTATTCAATTAAATCATCAGAAATAGGATTGGAATTACAACAGCAGACGTGAGTAAACACAGAAATTTACGGATTAAAAGTAAGATTCTGGGATCAATGTGTTGTAATCAAGCATATTCAAATTAAATAAAAATACAGTGAAATGTTTTACTTCATCGTCCCATACTTATGTTTCGATGTGATACTACCCAACGTTGATGAAAGTATTGATGAAGCAGCTGAATAAGCGAACAACGTATGCGGTAAAACAGATGCCCATCGTAAACTACTCAAAGTTTCCATGAATTCCTCTGCTTTCTCATTCGGTACTTCCTCATCAAACGCGAATTTCATGAGCTATAAATAGTCAACAAGGCGTATGAATGCGAAGTTAGTAAGTTTTAATAATGAAAAGTATAATGGAGCACAAAGAGGAGCAAACAATAAGAGATACAAATAAACAAACAATAAACAACATGCAGAATAAGACAATGATATCACAAAATAGCTTCAATAATTAATAATTTACTTGAAAACCCGAACTTCGTATCTGGAAGGCATCATGTAACTGATGTGCCACACGTACGGGAATACCCTCAAGCTGAGAACTTTGAGATGAAGCATCACCGATCGGTTTCTCCTTCGTTATTGACATAACTGTCATTGAACGCACAACTACCTGCTCACATACTGCAATTTACCACTACTTTCAAATTTTATTCTTGTAGAGAATAGCAAAAACATTTTAAACAAAAAATTCAATGTAATTTATATGAAAGAAAGTGAAACAATTCATAAACATACGGAATAAGTCGCAAGGCTGCCCTTTGAATACAACCCGATAATTGGTAAGGAAAATAGCTCCTTCAGCTGGAAGAAGACTTTGTGGTGTTTCACCGCACGTTGTGCTCGTTACACGTCCATCGGCTAATAAAAATACTCGCAATCCTCCAGCAACAATACGTTCAGATGGTAGTAAAAGTGCTGGTTGTAATAATTTTGGCTGTAAATCAATTTGATAGATGGATATAAATTAAACCTTCAATGCATCTTTTCTCTGCGGTAGATTGAAAGTATATCCCACATAGCCTGTAGATCTTCTGAAAGCTTCATGATATCAAGCCATGCCATTTAATTATGTTGCTTCCTGGTTAAGTTCACGCTAATTGTTGAAAAAATATTTCAAGGAAACTAAAACTTTAACCTTATGCAAAGGCGAAAGACGTTTACTTTCAGTATAAACTTGTTCCAGATTATCGATGTGCAATGCAACGAAGCCCGGTATTTCTCCACAAAGGCTTTCAATCTGCGGTTGTTCCAAACCAGCTGATGAGCAAATACGATCGATGAGTCTGTGAAACGCAAAACAATTGACTAAAAACGATTTAATAAAGCAAATTAAGGTTTACTTTTCAAACCGTCCGGAAAATCTTCACAATAACGACTATTTTAATATTAAAGAGAGAGAGAGAGAGAGAATTAACCTGCTAATCCATCGGACAGTAGAGTTCCCTAAATCTGTTGAATCCGCTTCAACAAAACCACTTTCCACTTCACTTTCACTCATCGACAATTCGGTTTCTTCATCAAAATCGCGTTTTCTACCATTTCGATCGCTTCGCTTTTCCAGCTCACGAACATTAACGCGACGTAGTTTTGAGAGATCGAGTGGTACTCGCATGTATACCATCAGATTGATGTAATGTTTAGCCTATAACATAAATTACGTAAAGGAAAGAATTTCAATCGAGGGGAAACATAAAATTTCGCTGTACCAAACAGGTAACGTAAAGACCAAACAAAAAATCTGAAGACTTAAATAACTGAAGACATGTTGAATGAAGTTATTTGGTCATCTATTGGCTTTTTATTTCATGTTTTTCCATATTTGTTGCTGAACCAAAAGTGAGATTGAAAAAAGATATCGAAAAAAGGTATGTTGCTACCTGCACCGACAGAACGAAAAAAAGCAATTGGTGGTGAGCATAAGTGTATGAAATACCAATTTTCTGCCATAATTTAGTCAAATCAGACACTTCTTTTGAAACAATCAAAAGAAAAAATTGAAGAAAATGATGAAATGAACTCATTGAATTCATTCTACAATATTTAATTCATTAAATCTCAAGAAGAAATCTATATACCTGTCCATAAACAATGGAGTTTTCTTCTGCTGCACGCTTCTCGATTTCATCATCCCTAACATTTGACATACTTGCTAGCTGATCACTGACCAAATCCATTCCCGAAGGTTTTTCCATCAAATTCCATGTGTCCGTCACATTCTACAATTTATGCTTAAACTTCAGGCTTTTGCTCCGTTCTTATACCTTTTCTTTCTTCACATACTAAATTAGAACTTAAGATTTTCTCCTTGTCCCTATTTTTTCCTTGTTTCATCTGTTAAAAGATCAGATTTCTGGTCACAATCAAAGGTTTTTCCCTTTTTTCGCTAGCAAATATATATTTTTAACGGTCAATTTTTTAGTTTCGAATAGAAAAGTGAAAGATAATTAAGCTGAATTAAAGTAATCAAGTTCAGGAAGTATTGTATCCGGCTTAATACATACTTCTTTCAGTGGAAATGGGCAATCTGACTCTTCCCTTGCCGGTAAATAAAGCCGCCTGATTTGTCGATGGACGTCATGAAAGAATGCTGCCTCCCAAAACTGCTGATTATCCCATACTGCATGTTCTTGAATGCAAGTGTATGCAAACTGATGTACACCGGCTGTCAAGCGCTATAATAAAATACTTTCATTATGTCTACAACAAAGAAAAAGAGATTTGACACCAAACAGAGGAGTAAAGAGAAATCCAAAAAATCAAATTTGTTAATTTGAAACAATAGTTTACCCTGCAATAAATGTTGGAGAGGTATAGCATGGCATAGGCAATTCCGTGTTCATCCTCTTTGGATTCTTGCTAAAAATTTCGATGCATAATTTGGCTGATCTATACATTGGAAGTTTATTTAGCTGAAGTGATTTATTCAGTCAAAGCATTTAATAAATAATTCATTAAGTTTAAACCATTTCCCAATTCCTATATGCAAAAACATAGCCCACAGCTCTTCACGAACGCCTAATCGAAATCGTAGTTCATTCTACATGGAGTTTTTTTTTTTTAGAAAAATACGTACATTGAGAGCGCAGTTCATTAATCGCACAATTAATTCAAACTGCTGTGGGAATAACGTTGCACGGTTGATTGGGACAAGATTTTTCCACAGCAATTGACAAAATGCTACGCGAGCATTAACGCTTCGCATTGATAACTCTACTGCACACATTATCTGCAATCAGGTATATGTCATTTAATGAGAATATAAAGCATCTTTCTCAAGTACCTTTCTCGCTAGCTACCTTCAAAATACTGAATTCTTTAGAAAGTAATCAGAATTCCCGGAGATAGAACCAAATTGTTACCTTTCTGGCATCCGATAATTTGAAATCAAATATATGATGCAAACAGCTGCTAAGAACTTGTAAACGTCTGGAAACTGCTCCCATACGTTCTTCCTTAGCAGTAATCCAGGGCGTAGCTTGGACACGACGTGGACATAATACGGGTGCTACACTATTTGGGGTTGTTTTTAACTTATGCTTGATTGACTGTGACACCTTGAAGAAAATATTAAATAATATGTGCGAAAAAGGTACGAGACCCCCAAAAATGCCAAGATTTAATGAAGTCAAACTAAACGATTAAAGATTTGATCATTATGGATCATAATCCAAAATGAAACCCTGGTAAACAAACGATTTTAATCGCAGGAAAACACTTGAATAACATTAACCAAATCATTATTAAGAAGACGTAATTTTGTAGATGAAAATGAAATGGTAAATCGCTGTCGAGTTACAAATGGAGTGATTGAAAACGGAGTTTCTTGTCTTTCCTGAAAAAAATAAAAATAAAAATGTTAATGTATGCACAAAACATGTTAGCGCAAGTAAACGCAAGCATATAAATAATGCATCGAAAGCCATGAATTTTAAGAAACATAGTAAATGGGCTAAGAAAATGAAGAAAAAAATAAATACATTCTCAAGTAATTTTTCAGCAATCTCAATGATATTTTCTATACTGGTTGTTCGTAAAGTTGACTGACCATTTGACTGTTCGCTAATCTGAGCAACAAGCTAAAAATCAATAATTTACATTACATGATGCCGTAAAAATTCCACATTTGCTCCAGAACAATTCGTTTGATTTCAAATCCAATTTCTTTGTCATACACCATTCATGACAATTTAAAACTCTCTTCTTTTACATATTACAAAACCACTCACTTCATCGAATAAGTCGCAAATCCGGAACGGTAACCCGCGTTCGGATATGAAAGACTGGAAAAGCAAGCTATCAAGAAAAGCACGAATAAGTGGACACGAAGAAAACTGCCGTAAACCCAGAAATGCAGATTTGTGAAAGACGATTAATGGTGGCGTATAAACACGAATAACTTCCAAGCAACACCGATAACCCACTAACAAATCCGCAAAGAAACGAAGGAAACATGCTCGAATTCTTTTGTCCTAAAAAATCCCAATCAATCCAGGTGAACAGGAAAAACTGTACATATTAAGATGAGCAAAAAAAGCGGAAAAAATTAACTAACCTGTACTTCACAAGCAGGAAATGGCGGCTGCCCAACTTTCCACGCAAAATCCGCGGTAGCCAAACCGGGATATAGTACCTATAACGACAGTGAATCATTAGCATCTATATAAATTGTTCATAAAAATCATCTTAGTTTCCTTTTTTCTTCTTAAATTTCATATTAATTTTTAAAAAACATACGAACCATTTGCAATGAAGAAGTGAGCTGCTGATGGAACGGTTGAGGAATTACAGGTATTGTAATCGAAGGTGGCACGTAAACAGCACCAACATCTAGATCCACTACAACTGCATCTAAATCAGTACACCGTATACGGACGGTGTTTAACACACCCATTATGTATGGAGTTGGGCTTTCTAGGTACTCAATGAGTAATTCAGGCAGTACAGGAACATAAGTATGCCTGAAAAGTGAAATAAATGTAGGAAATGGTGTGAAATTACTGGTATTGGTTAAGCTGAAAGATTCTTATCCACAAACTTAACAACCGTCTTCCAAAGAATTTGTTTGAATAATAGAGATATTGTACTTATACTTTAATAATTAAACTATTACAGAAGTCAAAAATTAAAAAGAATGGAAGGAACTGATTTTACCGGATTAAAAGATATTTATAGAATTAACTTACGGGTAATCAAAAGGATATAGAAGCGAACGCAGAGCGTAGCAGCTATCAGCAAGCAAAGAAAGTGAACTGGATCGAAATAATATCTTGTAATCAGTCATAACAGCACAAAGCAACGTTAAAATATTATGGATTGTTCCTAAATTGGGAATTACTATTTCTATTTAAAATTATAAAGCGATACATATAAATAAATATCTTTTTTCCCCATAATTCTTTCTAAAATAAATTAAAAATTTGCATACTAAACTTTTTGCTACTTTTCCAAATTAAAACAGACCTAACTGCTGAAGAAATAATGTCACTTTATCAGATGTGACAGGTATAGTTGGCGATTTGGGAGCCCGTACAGAAAGTCGATCACTCCCTAAACAAAATGATACCGCAGGCATACCCGGTGTCAGATAAACCTGAGAGAGCAGCGTTGAAATCATCAATTCGGCTTTATCTTCTGCTTCCAATAAAGCCAAGAGTATCTGATTTAAGCAGTTCTAAAATGTACTGTTAACTGATCCAAAAATTTCGGGAACTGCTTATAACAACTTGTCCAATTAGATTTTTAAAAGATTCCAAAAATATATAAATTCAACTTTTTTAATTGAGAAAAAAATAAAAACAACGTATTACTCTGAATAAATCGAAAAAAGGGAAACGCGATAATATCACTATAACTTTCGGCTTGAATAGACTTGGTCCTTCGTCAGATCTCGTATCATCCACCTCTTCGATATCATCTCCACATGGCTCGTAAACCTAAATCATCTTTCCATGTTTAGATCAAAACTATTTCCCAGAAAGCTTGATCTAGTTACTGACCCGTGCTAAAAAGTAACAATAGTTCAACCGGATAGTATCCAAACATTGAGAGGCATTTGTTACACGAACTCCAAACAAACTTAGCATTTAATTTATGATGTTAACTAGGTGAATAGGATATTTCGAACAACCAACAGCTTAACCTATCGCGCGGATAAAACAGCATGTTAGCGAAAAATGATTATCTTGGACTAGACAATCATACTAGATACGTTACAATGGCACTCAATAGCATTTCCTAACTGTTTCGCCTTTATTTAAACTGCAATTCCTTAATAACACCTACATTCAATCTACAACCATTCAAAGATATGACGCAAGCACATGAAGGTTAGTTATTCCGGATACAGAAATAATGAAATTGTTGAATCGAAGAATTAAGATAAAAATGAAGGAAATGAAAACATAAAGAATGAAAATACACCTGCAAACAGCAAGCATATTGCCTAGCACCCATAATATCCGTCAGTGTATTCGCGAAGAAGCAAACAGGACGCATTTCCGCCGAAAGCGCCCAACCTTGTGGTTGAGAAAACTGAAATTCGACATTATTTCGGACCTCAATCTCTAATTAAACCAATTTAGACAGATCTAAAATACTTGTGAATAAAATCCTCCTAAAATAACGGATTAAGAAAAAATCCTCTTCTTTTCTTCCATTTCTTCCTTCACTTCTCATAAGCAAAGACAAATTAAATCTGATATTCTATTATTGAATAGTTCTGAAAGGATGTCCCGTTAAGTACAGACAAATAAAAGGATCAAAGATACGACAGGACGAAAGAATCAGGTGCATCAAGTTTTAATTTAATATTAGCAAATCATGCCTGTACTATCATTAAGGATAACTTTCTTTTTTAATGACTGGTAGGGACGAGAAGTATATCCAGTTCATTAAGATTCTAGGATATCTTGACCACCGCACCAATAAAAAAAATTCTAGAATGAACCGATTTGTCGAAAAAAACGTGTAACATACCACTTCAAGGCTTGGTGATAGTGATATATCTGACCAATCATATTTTGGGAAGCGCTGTACAATATTCCCAACACTGCTCCCATGTCCTAAAAATAGTTGTTTTCAGCAATCTGGAATTTCCTCTTCAAAATCCAAAAAAAAAAAAGAGAAAAAGGAAACACAATGTTTTTCAGGATAGATCACCATGACCGGATTTAAACAGTTACAATAGAAGAGAAGGGAGAAAAAAATTGAACAGTTTCTGGAGTTTTAAACTAACACTTCAACTTAGATTTGATCTTTAATCATGGAAGAATAGAATCAATTATATGATATACTACATTTAATAACGAAACTAACGTATTTGAGTTTCGTCGAACTCGATGATGACAACGTAATCTACCAGACGGGTACTTGTTCCTTCACATTCCGACATTACAGTAAATCCAGAAAGCTCATTGATTCTGGGTTAAGTTATTGGGTGTTTCCACAAAAGTAAGTTAGGTTACTGGATATTCCGAGCGAAGTAATAATCAGTTGGAATTTTTTTTAAGTTTAAAACTTCAGTTTGCACAGTAAATATCTTTGTGATTTACAACATTTGAGAATTCTAGGAGAAAAATTCATGCGATATAAGGGTTCTAGGAGAAAATTTCCTGCGGAAGGAAGCGTCAAGCATTAAGATTTGGGACATAAAATTAAAATCCTGGGGGAAAAAAACGAAATTCACTCGGAATTACAAAACTGAAAACAATAATTCCAGCAGTAATTGGAAGAAACGTAAATGCACTTCGAATCAAAAAGTTCTGGCATTTTAACTCAAAGTTCGTGATTTGCTGAATGATATCATAAAATTCCAATTCAACAACTAGCTAGGAAAAAGTTGGGTTTGAGAAATGGTTAAATAGAAGTTAAAAACACAATGAGCATAATGATCAATGGCGTTCATTGTTTGTTGTACAATTTTGTATTTCCGAGTTTAAATACTTTTGAACTTATTCGATTATTTTTTAGTTTCTCTACTTTATCTACTATTTAAGCAGCTCGTAATCTATTCCAGTTCTCTTGGATATTCTATATTCCAGTTTTCTGGATTTCATTTACCGCTTTCCCATAATTTAACCCATATCTACTCCAATTTCTATGTCCACAGAAAAGAATAGAAATCGAAACATCGGAATCCGGAAATATTGAAATCCCGCATCCACGGTAAAACATGGTGCCGGCCATTACGGAGGTTTATTTAACATCTCGAAGAAGTGTGCTAATGCTTTCATTTTTCGGATAGTTGTTGGGACAGGAAATGAGAGGTGAATAGATTGTGCAAGATGCTAAGAGATTACAGGAGATTAGAGATGGATGAGATGTGTTTAAAAAGCTTGTCATATAGCATTGAAATTTAAGAAACGGGAGAGATTGCTAAGATTTTTATAGAGCATACAACGAGGGGTTGAAAAAATTCTGAGAGAGTAATGAGAGAATTGAAAAATTTAGGAGCATAGAAGATTGGTAAACTTAATTAAAATGAAGTAGTAATAGATTTGATACATATGGTGAACTATGAATTTATTACTTCTCGAATAAATGACAGAACAAGGTTTAATTTCATTTGTATTAATTCAAAATTGAATTTTTAACTACTTTTTCAACTTTTCATAACATCTATAATCATTGGGTTAATTTATCTATTAAATGAAAAATTTCAATAGGCTTGGATTGGTTGAAAGTTAAATATAGGAACTTGATATAACAGTTTGAATTTGTCCTTTTTTTTTTTAATAAAATGTCCTATTATCAATATTATTTGATTAATTTGTATTTCCAGAAGTTATAAAAACGAGCAAAAACGATTTGCGTATACATCCATATGATGGATAAAAAAAATCAAGCATAAATCTATTTTTTCCATTTAAAATTTTCCTTTTCAGAATTAAAATGCAATGTATAATGTTATATTTTTGGTATTGATATTGTTTTTTTCACTAGCAACAGAAGGATCGAATTTGATCAATAGCTTATATTTACCAGAAGAGCATATTCAATATTGGGTAAACCGAGATAATACTGTGCGCAATTTGTGCTTCAAAAATGAACGTTGCCGTTTAAAGGTTGCTATTTTTTATGTTGTTTTCAAATGAATCACGTAATACTTTCATTCTAACAAAAGTTATTGTTGAATTAAACAAAATCGATTTACTGCGATGATTTTTGAATTGAACAAAATTGATATACTGGAATTGTAATATTATATTCCTATATGATTCATACTTTTTTATCTTGCATGCACGAGATATATTTTCCACTGGTGAAAACACGAGAAATTTACTGGATGAAAATCGGATTAATATAAATGTTCCTAAAGTCCCAATTTAATCTTAGCGTAAATTTAAATTTGATTTTAAAATCAATCAAATTTTACTACTGCTGCATATCATATGATGCGACATTTTCGTGACATGACATAACATAGAACTTAACCAGTTATCATTGTTTCCTCAATGAAATCAAGATTGTTAGCCATCAGATTATATTGCCTTCAAATTCCTTTTTTGTTTTTTGAAATGATGGTTTCCATAAAAACATGTATAACATGTCAACACAATTTTAGTTTGCGATAAACAACAAACATTGTTGGGGTTATGAGCCAAATTGTGATCCAGAAAACAGTTATTCTGTGCGAAAAGCAAAATGCACAAAGCCAAGCAGTTGGTTCGTTTCAGATTTTATGAAATTATTATTTCAGGTATATTTACCGAGGAAGTCGTCAACTTCTTTTCTGTTTCTACTTTTTTGACTATATCCATTACATTTTACTGTATTTATTATATTCTAATGTTCCATTATCGAACGCTAATATGCTTTTTTTAAAAAAGATATTTCTTGCCAATCTTAATTTGAAATGAATGCCATGAAGACAAGATTTTAACTACTATTTGGATATTATTTTGGCTGTCGATATTTCTCATTTCAGTGTGATTTCATTATAAAAATTCTTCTGCAAATTTAAGATAACAACTGATCGATAGTATGCATTTTGGAGAATTATTTGTAACATAAAGGAAAAAAAGAAAATTCATAATAATCAAACAACAATAAATTACCACTCTGTCATTTAAGTTTGCTGTTGATATATAGATTTTTTTTCAGTTATTTTGTTTGTAATTAAAAAAATTTTTAGCCAAATCCAAGATCACAACTGATCAATAGTACGCATTGTCAGAAATCATACAGAGTGTACAAAAAAAATTTATAATAAGCAATATCAATAAATTGTCATTATGTTATTTAAATTGCTATTTAAGCTGTGGAGTTTTTTTCATTTTTATTTCTCCATTGAGTAGGTCTGAATAAAAGGATATTTACCGGAGTTGTCACCAAAGAGAAAGTAGGGATTGCATTTCCATTAGACTGAGCTTTGTATCCAAAATGTTGATTAGAGTGCTGAACGAAAAGCCAAGTATCAGTAGGAAGAACAAGTATCAGTTTAATCAAACATTTATGCTAAAATTTTAGGAGTAGGAGCAGTACCGAATCGCAACTAGAGATTTTTCAAAAACAAGGTGATTTTCTGAAATTAGCGCAAGTATTTAACACTATCGAACCGATCTGCATTTCAAATCATACTGTACGTAATTATTATTCGAATATTTTTCATTTAGTTTACTAAATTTATAGTTGTTTTCAGTTGGAATTCATTCATTAAACTGGAATTGCCCACGTTGACTCCAAGGAATTTAGTCGCTTTATTTATAGGAAGGTAGTTTTCTGGAATGTTCTAATCATTTGAGATTCTGTCGAGCAAGGAATATTTTCTTTGATTTCAAAAATTTGAATTCGAAAACTTCAAAGAGGTGAGTGATGTTTGAATTGGTTGTTTTTGCAACATTTTAAATGAATTTAGGATTTCCCCTCGATTAAAGTTTGAAATTGCAACTCGCTCGCAGCACTTTGCTATAAAAATCTTTGAATTTAAGATACCGAAATGATGTGATCCAGAAAGGACAAGTTGGTGGAAACTGTAACGCAGTATTTAATGAAAAATTGCTACATAGCAGGGCAGATGAAAAAAGCTATTTGCAAAGTTGGTAAGTAATCTGTTTGCATAAACTGTGGATGATACCTTTCAGGGAATTTTTATTTCTAATAATATTAAACTTTCTCGTTAATATATTTCTCAGTTTGACTTATTCATTTACTGAATTTTTAGGGATGAAATTACATAACCCTTTTAGAAGATAATTCCTGTGTTTCCAACACATTGACCATGTTTTGGATATAACTCTAAGTAATGTTAAACATATCTAGGGCTCATGAATTAGAATATTTTGCGTCGTATCCTGATTTTCGGATTTCGAAACTTCGATGTGATGTAATTTTCGACAAGCCAACAGTACTGATCAAATTGGACGCATCAGTAAATATGTATCATCATTTTTGTGATTTTCTCAATCTGTATGCAAGCCAACATATTAATGGTTCGATTGATATGAATATCGATATCCTGTGGTGGGATACGGTCGGTTTTGCCAAATCTTACCAATTATTCTTCTTTGTGTCAACTATATTAATCAAAGGTTGCTCTATCTGTATTTATTTGAATAACGGAACTATGAAACTTGATAACCGACTACAAAACATTCCATATTGAAATCGTAACTGATCTAACTTGAGCTCAGAAAATTTAATAAAATGATGGCTTATTATGATATTTCTTATACGTTTAGTGGTCTAACGGTTTCGTCGACCTCACATTTGGAGCTACTTGGCGTGCTTTCACGGTGAACACACCTTATGAATTGATTGATCTAGATGGGAAAATGGTCTGTTTCCGGAATGCCATGTTTTCGATGCTTGCCCGACAGCGGTTCGGTCTATATTATAACATGCCATTAGTAAGTTCAATTTTCACGGCTTTTTTGCAAAAGTTTGCGAGCAAAAATACTGAAAAGTAGTTAATTTAAAAATGCAAAATATATGAAAATGATGGTTCTTGATTTAAACTGATTGAATGTCTTGATCTGGTTCCAGAGTATCTTTTTGGCTCAAAATTCCATGAGAAGAATCGGACTGAGTGATAGGAGAGAGAAAGGGAAAAATCTGTTCTTGCTTGATTTGCACTTAGATGTAATATAAATTATACTATTAGTTGGTGCATAGTCACCAAATCGATAATTAACATAGCCGGTTATTTCTCAATTTACCAGCTGTAAAGTTCTTGTCAGGACAGTAAAATTCGAATTTTTAAAATGAAGCTTCAGTCTAAAGATTTGTAAAATTGTTTTCGATTGATGGCTGTGAAGAAAGTGGTCTCATTCATGCATTTTCTCGGCATATACTGCATCGTTTAATGATTCGACAGAATGGACCATTACTGGATAAGATTCGCGTAACATTGCTGTCGAGAAGTACTCCGTTCAGAAAAATAATTAACGAAGATGAGGTAAGTGAATAATTACGAATTATTTATTCTTTTTAGCTGCTTATTTTGAATATGATTAGGCCAAATATATTCATTTGTTTATTTTTTCATATGTTTTTTTTTTTTAAATTTTTGTCCCGTTCTTTTCCATGTCAAGATTTGCAAAAATATCTGAAGGATCCATTTTGGTAACTTCAAAAACTGTCTTTGTTGCTTTGATTACCACCGCTTGTTTGTACGCCAACAGATGCATTTTCGGTTTCACTTTCATCAAATGTTTCTACTTGCTTCAATTCAATTGGAACGAGCACTGTCTGTAAATCTAGTTATACTTTTATTTTTTCATTTTTTTATACTATTTGTTTGTTTCATCTTTCAAAATTTCAAAATTTTTTCAAGTGTCGAAAATTTTTTTGCAATTTTTAAAATCCCCTTATTTGCGCATATTCTATATGCAGTAAAGGTAGATTTTAAAGAAAGAGACCATTTCATTTGCGATCTTTTGAAAAAATTCTTCGACTGACCTGTTGTCCGATGAGAGGTTGCGTGAAAAAGTAGCCGCGTGTTATTCGATCAGTTTGAATATGTCGTAGATTCTTGAAAAGTATATTCAAAATCCCAGCACAACATAGTGCTAAAAAGTATTTTTTTTTTTGCAAGAATATTTTTATACGAAATTGAAAAATTGGGATAAAAGATCGAATCATGAAATTTAATTGAACTTATTGATATTTTACTATATTCCTTGTTTCTTTCTAACTTCTTATCAGTCATTTTCTCTGTATGTTTATTAAATTATTGCTAATTCCGGAATTTGTCAACCTTATTGGTTTGTGTAACATTAATACTAGGTTAATAGACCTATCGCATAACTCTTATTCATAGAATTTTAAAAGCAAAATTTAGGGACAATTTTTTCAGAAACATTTAGCTAATTGTTTTACCTTGTATGGGAGAAAGTACCATGTGCAAACTGTACATAGCTACTCGTGTATTGGATACAATTCGATTAAGTTCTAGGAAATTTTCCTGAAAATCGAGCACGGATTTCAATGAGGAGTTCACTTATGCTTTTAAAAAAAACTTTCGGTTTGTTTGTGTTTTTTTTAATATAGACCAAGGGAATAGTTTGTTGATATAATTTATTAAGCAAGCAATGACCTCATAAAATGACCATCCTTGACCTCGTATTTGTTTGTCTTCACCATAAATTAAGTATGCTGTCCAAATGAATATTGCCACAGCAACAATAAAACTGACAATAGTAAATGCAATACAGAGCATCTAAAATATTCATTAATAATAACAAATAAATATAGAGAATACCGCTGATATTCTTATCATTTATAAAAGACTGTAATGCCCATCCGTTTCTTTTGGTTTGTATCAAAACTATTGTGAAAAAAATCAGGATTCATCAATTTTTAAATCAGCAAGGAAAATCAAATCAGTAGGTGATATTTTAAAAAATTTAAGTGCTTATTTATTCCCTATGAATCACACTTAAGAATTTATTTTATTGAAATTATAGTAAAAGAATTATATACAATAAAGGATAAAACTTCACTTCTTTAACTACTGTAGTTTACAAATTTCGAAATCTTCGCAAATTTAATCTTCGTTTCGTATAATACCCTTACCAGAAATTTTCGTGTTGGCCTATACCTTATAAAGCATAATACAGTGGAAGCATTGAGCATAAATAAGATACTTGCAATAACAGCCAGGTAATATGGGCAGCCATCATAAAAAACACATATTATACCAAATATCATCTGCAAAAATAATCAAATTAATAAAGAAATTAAAGGATTTAACCAAATATTTGTTTTAAAACCTAAATAATTAAATGTCATTTACCAATTGAAGTGCTGCACCAAAAGCGACCAAAGTTAGAGTGAGTAAGGTTCGCGCTTGCATCAAAACAACTTGGTTTGTAACCACTTGATCAATCTAAATTTAAAGTTTATGGAATCAATTTTTCATAACTCTTTCATTCTTAATCTAACGTTCAGAATTTTTATCGAAATTCAAAATTTTCAAGATTTCCAGATTTTCAATATTAGCTAATAGGAAAAGAAGAAGTAGGCATACATGGAATGACGGCGAATTGACGGTTCCTTTGGACGTCGAACTTTCGTTCATCTGATTTACATTGTGGATATTTGCAGTTGTACGTACTGGAAGTTAGCGTGTAACAAAGGGTTGTTATGAGATCATGAGTTAAGGAAAAGCGGAATTCCATAAATCGAACTTTGTAGATTTTTACGGTTTCGAGATTATCCGGAATTGTACCCGGTCATTTTTAGAGGCCTGGAAGGGGAAGTATGCTACTGTGAAATTTGATGAGGATTCTTGAATTTTATAATCACTTATATTTTTTAAATAATTCCTATGCCGCATCTCCTTTTGTAAATAAACTTCTGAAATAAAGACAACTATTTATACTTTTATGTCTAGCATCTTATTTTTACGATTGTTCTTTCCAACTTTTGATTCCTTGGAAAATTCCGCTTTTACTTCTTAATTTAGCGCATTTATATTCTTTGATAGAATTTCAAAATATCAATATATACCTGTAGATTTCGTTGTTACAGTATCATCGGATTCCATCGTCGTGATAGAATCTGCGTGATTTCGTTGGAGTCCACAACCATCAATCAAGTGTTGTAGTCCATAGGTATCACGATAATAAACATTGGGTGGGAATGATCCTACTGGCTAGAACAAAAAATTTCAACAGTTATGTACTTATAACTTCATTATTTATCACTATTAGTATTTTCACTTATTTATCAATGGTAAGAAGCAGGTCCTCAACAGTAATTATAATTAATTGCATCTAACCAATGAGAACTTAATATTCAGGTGAGAGATCACTCAAATGACTAAAAAGTATGAAAGGAATTAACAAACTAGGTTGTTTGAAGAAGTCCTATAAGGTATAGGTGCAGCCATTGTGATAACATGCAAAAGAATCGCGGAAATATATATTAGGCTAGTGATAAGCGATGAAATATGATATCATCACTATTAGTTTCATCTCAAATTCGTCATTGAAGCATTCGTTCGGCACATATTCATCCATTATTTGAAGCTGCAATTTTTTTCTTTTAATTTATGAATAAAATTAGAGTAATGAAAATGTTGAATGAAATCACTAGTATATGATAATCGAAGTTTACCATATTAGGATAGACGAAATAATTTATTTGATTAATCATTTTTACAACAAGTAAATTTGGGAAAAAAATACTGTGTTTAACAAGTAGATTAGTAAAAGATAAAGTATAGATGGTAACATCCAGGATATTAATAAGATGACATTGATCGGCAGGATTGTTTCTGGATTTGAATCTGCTCACGATAAATGTGAAACTAATAAAACTGAGGAAATTAATTGAAATAGTAAAATAAAATTGAGATTTAATATATTGTCTGCTTTAATTAATAGCATGACAAGCTTTATTTTTAGGTAAAATTACATTGCTAATTAATGAATATAACGATACTTATCTCTTTTATGGAATTGAATATTGTAAGAATATTGAATATTATAATATATGTACTTGATATGTGCATTATACGTATATATATATATATATATATATATATATATATATATATATATATATATATATATATATATATATATATATATATATTATATATA